TGTACCGCGCTATACCGTAAATATCCTAATATCTGCCCACAAAAGTGGGGTTCTTGAATACTCCCCCCCCTCGAAAACTCCCCCCTTGAACTTACAACATTAAATCTTAGAAGTACCTATTCAAATATTGCAAGTAAGAGAGATCGATAAGTATATAGATAGATAGGCTTCTTTATTTATGAAGTTGGCAAGGGTGTCGTCATAAATGAAGTGAATAGAAAGTGCGTTTCCATCCGTTCTATTTGTTGTGTCAAGTACGTATGAGGTAGACATTTTACAACTTCGGAACTTACAAGCTTCAATAGCATTTCAATTTCAATTTCTTTTATAGTTACTATAGTTATACTAAAGACATTATTACCACGCCAGATCATCGCATGACATCCCTATAGATCATATATCATATATACCAACGCAGCATTCTCTTATACTTGCCACTCTTTCACCTATAATTAACCTAAGGTACGATATCAAGAACTTCCTACCTCCCAAGAGATACATAGCACGCTAGAGGCTAGAACCTGAATACAATTCTACCAAAAGAGCAGCCTTCAACTCGGAAGAGATTGTTGTCAATCGATAGGCACTGCTCAGTGTCATCTCTGGGGCTGACCGTCTCGATGCGAGAGGATACATCTGTCAACGGCATGGCGGATCCATATCCGACCGAATTTCACTGCGCAGGGTGTCGTTACACTGTCAACGAAGCACGAAGACTCCAATGCGCATGTTATTACTGTCGGGAATGTTTAACCCGATTTTTGCATTTCAAAATGGAGGACAGGATGGAATGGCCGCCGCAATGCTGTGGGATTAGTCTGAGCGAGAAGGACGTGATCTGGTTAAATTCAGAAGATCTCCTAAATAAATATCTGGGCGTGGACCAGGAGGTAAAGATGACGAACCCCTTATACTGTTGCAGACCGCAATGCAGCGCCCTGCTCGGCTACGGAGAGGCGGTGGACGGAAGTGGCACCATGACTTGCGATGAATGCGGCACTAAAACCTGCAAGAAATGCAAGCAAGCGGCACACGAAGCCCCCAAGACGAAGTGCAAAGGACCGGTTTTAGATCCCGTATTGAAGGAAATGGCTAAGAAAAATCGGTGGAAGATATGCCCGCATTGTAGCCGAATAGTCTCTCGAAATGATGGATGTTTTCATATAAAGTGAGTTTACGTCTCATCTTATAAGACGGCGGCTACCTTGCAGGAATAATTGCTGACTGGAATCCCTCGGTTTGCATAGGTGTCAGTGTGGTGGGCAATTCTGCTACATTTGCGGTCTGGCATGGAAAACCTGTTCCTGTATCGTGCCTCCCCCACGCTTAACCGACGAACAAGTTCAAGAAAACTATCGTAAATTTGGCATCGTCGACAACGTAGAAAATGGGGAACGGCCTTGGCTTCGAGGGGCGTTCGCTCGCACTCAGGAGAACACTCCGCCCGTCCAGCAAGCGCAACCAACACATTCGCATCCGTTGCCCCCTGTTATTCACCATCTTAACCACCTTCCTCCAGGACCTGGGGACTCGACACGTCGATTAAATCAGCTCCCTCCGCTTGATACACAATATTTGCCTCAAGATCGATATCCTGTAGAAAACCCGATGCTAACAATGCGCCCTTCCGCCATGGAAATGGGAGTGTCCAATTCTGATCAGCTTTTGAACCCCTTAAATGGTCAATGGAGCAATTATATGCGCTTGCCACCCTCACTTCGATTTCCACAAGGAGGTGTGAGTCCTTTGCTTCCGCATGCGTCGTTGGGGGTGAATAATGGGATTATCCCTCGAAGCTCTCCCGCCCTACCAGTGCCACCTGACGACGAGGAAAGTCTGGAACGGGAACGTGTCGCCAGCGCCAGAATGGAGGCACGATCACGGAGACGGTGGGCAAAAGTAGCAAGGCTAGTAAAGAGGCTGGAACTGCAAAATGAAGGACCGCGAAGTCCTCTGAGTTCTTCTTCCTCATCTAGGATCCCCTCGCCCAAGAAACCTTCTCCCAAGAAATCTGCTTCCAAGGCCCCTAGGAAACCCCGAAAGCCTAAAAATCCATGATAACATGAGTTGGTATCTCTTGGTGATGCAGCGGTATCTTTTACGTTTTACGTCGTATCATAGTCTTTCATTTTGAAGGTATTTATTCTCCCTCATCCGTCAATACCCCCTATCATTACGGATGTTTACAAGATAATCTAACGTGTTTCAATAGTTATATGGATGAATCAGCGGTTTTCATTGATGGCTACCTAGGCCAGGATACATTCCTTTCACATGACAGTAAATATGGATATCAATGAGTTGGGCTACCCTAGGAGGGAGTAATAATATCAAGAAGCAAAAGAAAGAAAAGTATTATTGATAGGTAGCGTAGTCTATGTACATACCTAGGTACTTGATTAAATACTCAAAAGCGACATATTTGCTCTTTATATGAATATCCAACTTGACTGTGGGTACAAGGTTATAAAGGGGGGAGAAAATGTTAAAAAATTGTAAAAAGACTAGCTTCACCCTGTTTTGATCAGAGGACCTCCAGGTAATTTCGGTTACGAACCTGGTGCGCTTCCACTGCGCCATGAAGCTTACATAGGGATGTGTACAAGAGGTGGAGGCTCCTCAGTCTCTGGCGGTGGAAGTCGACGACGTGTTACCATCTAAAACGTCTCCCATCCTGTCTATGTGCCTGCCGTTTCCGTGCTTAGGCTTTCAGCACCTGCCTACTGCTACCCATGACGTGTTATCTATCTGGCTTCTACCAATCATCGTGCCTGGCCTGCCCCTTTAACTAGCGTGCTTAACTAACACCCAACTCCCACCACGCAGTGACCTGGGGGTTCAATTCCTCCACTGGCCAATTCTTTTTTTTTCGCTCTTTTTTCTGGCTTTCTTTAACCCTACCTACATATCTAACTCTTCGCTCCGCCTTTCCATTTAGATACCAGGTTCATGATGTATTTTACCTATTCTCTCCTAAAGGAAGATGATGAGTTGGTGTGGTAGGGACCTAGGTAGTCACAATAGCAAGTAGGTCAGGAATATACGAAACCGGAAGTGATAATGGCTGGTGATCGAAAACTTCCTCATTGACCCGCTTGGGGTCGAAGCCATCATGAAAGACGGCATCTGCCTAATCTGTAATGGTGCGGTGTTGATATACACTTTGCATTTCATATCACCGTTGATACGATATACTTGAGCATACATACATATCACACCAACTGAACCACTTATGAGCATCAATTTCCCGGGTGAGCTTAATAACCAGTCCCTTCATCATTCATCTCATCCTGTCAGAATCTGTTGACCATACTAACTACATTGTAAATCAAAAAGAGTTGTAATGAACTGTGATGTCGACTAACCTTTCTAAGTACCACAATAGGAGCATGTTGGTTTATTAAAAAGGGTGATGCGTGAGCTGCACAAAAGAACAAAGTAATGGCAGGAAGGTTTCTTTCTTTCGTTACATACCTATCTAGATATGTAAGTAGGTACGCAGGTAGTCTGTTGTAGTGCATGAATCTTCACGTCGTCCGCCCACCTGTAGACTAAACATGTCATCAAGAAGTAGGTAATCACAGCAAGCCAAAAACTACGGCGACAATCACGGCAGCAGCAGCACCAGAAACACGAACCACCGCACCGAGCATTGTAGAAATCATCCATTGGTGTATTATTAAGAGTAGGTTTTGCCGAGCTCCAACAGATTTAGATGTATGATCTAGTCCTCCCGTTACCGCCTGCGCACTGAACTAACCCAACAATGCAAAGCCAGCCCCAAAGCACGACCCGACGCCGCCCCAGCATGCACATGTCATCTTATGCATGCCTACCTGCCTGGCCCTTGAGAGAGAAAAAATAAAACCCGTCGTCTAACCCCCCTAGCTGTCATACGTGCGAGCGGGATTGCATCTAGTCAAGTCGTCATGCGAAAAAAAGTCTGCGATCGTTACCACCCTCCCCATTCAATATCGGCGTCAAAGTATTAAGAGCATGCCCTCTCTCTAATTATGAGCGGGGGCGAGGTATTATAGCGAGTCGATGAAAGATTCCGGTTTCGGGCTGGCGCACGTGAAAAGGTTTATGTGCTGGTCGCCGCGTGCCGCACAGCCGAGAATCATGCGGTGGGGATGGAAGGCCGTAGCTGAGATAGCCGCGCCGCGGTTTTGCTGCAGGAAGCTGGAATACGGCTCCATGCGGGAGAGCTCGTGACCGTCAAAATTGAAGACCTTCACGGTGTGGGCGGATGTTCCACTAAAAGTTTGTTAGTAAAGAAACCATATGAATGCGATGTTAGGTTGGGTTAAAACTTACACAGAGAAAACCGGTAGGTGCTCGTGGGTGCTTGCGGTTCGGAGTGTATCGCGTGTGGCTTGGATAACACGAAGCGGCGAGTCCATACGAATATCCCACAGCTTGACTTTCCCGTTTCGGCTTGCTGAGAGTAACTCGCGCTGACCGCCACGCTGCATGTGAACATTTCTAACCCACTGTCGATCGGAATCATCCTTCCATTTCTTGACCATGGACTCATGTGTCCGGAGTCGAGTGTCAAACACCCGAACAGCTCCATCCCCAAACCCAGCTACGAAAATGTTACCAGTCATTTGGTCTGACGTCAATGATGTCACGCATGAACCCGAGCGTGCAGGTATGTCCATAATACACGTTTCATGTGCGGCAGCCCAAACCCGGATGACTCGCACGTCTCCTGCAACAAGTACATTACCCGTTACCTGCTGCCAGTCGAAGACCATTCCTGAGTTGACATTACTGGGAACCATATGGGTTAGTGCTCGCCATGACGATGCTAACTCGGTTTTCTTGGGAGCATCGTAGTTCCGATAAACCCGGAGCACACCGTCCGATGAACCTGTCATTAAGAATGCTGTATCATCTTCATTGATAAACGTCATATCGCTAATCTTCGATCCCTCGGGATTTCCATTCGAGAATCGGTTCAATCTAGCCTGCTTCTTCCAGTCCCAGATGTAAACAGTGTTGCCATCATCGGCGACTGCGAGATGGTCTTCATACTGGTGGAATGTCATTTTCGCTGGCTGAGCACCATTATTCATTATGCAGAGTTGGTTATTCCATCTATGGCTGCCCGCAAATTGTTTTTGCGGCTGAGTCTCTCGGAGTATATTCTCGTTTCGAGCTCGCCTCCACAATCGTTCGTTATACTCGGTGCTTCCCGGCTCCTCGGCCTCACTGGGATGCATTTGTGGCTCCCGGAAGTACTCGATTGACCAATCTAAGAATGTGCTTGGAAGTGGTAAGGAGGGCGCCTCATCAAGGTGTCGTTGTTTGAACTTCCCCGACACAGGCTCGTCGGCCATGTTGTAATGCGCTGGGGCATTGGCCTGGTCAATTTGCTCAGGAGGAGCCCAATCTGGCGTAAGTCGATTCCGCTGAGAGGAATTTCTCAAAAGTCCGGGAGAAGGTAATTGTGTAGAATTAGTAGTGTCACCAGCCCACATACTGGGTAGCTGGAACAGTAAGCTCGCAGTTCGCTTGAGAAGACCGGGCGAAGGTTCTGGAGGAGAAAGTTCGGAAGTAGATGTCATGAGGCCATTTCGTGAGGTAGAAGACTGTTTCTTGTGACCACGGAATCGTCGCACACGCCTTTGAATCTCATCCATTAGATTTTGAGCTTGGAAGCCAGCTGAAGAAGATAGCAGTGCATTGTGAACGTAATCGACAACAATTGTTGCATCTCGCTGGACTTCAGGGTGAGGGTCCACGTTTAAGACCAGTATATGCTTCCAACAAGCCGCGAAGACTGTGTTGGTAGACAATCCCTGAGCAGTGGCTTTGATCGTCCCATCTGCATTACGGTTCTCAGGACGAGCATAGTGCAAGCCCATCTTATGCTCCAGACCATCATCCGTCGGAGGGAAAAGTAAGTACTCCTTTTCTTCGACAAGTTGTTCGTAAGCGGCAACAATAAACTTGTTCTCGTAGCGAAGAACAAAATGAGAAATGAAGACGAGTAGTTCTTTACGAACAAGCGGGCTGCCGTCGTTAGCCATGTCTAACAATGTCCACGCTATGGATTCTTCAATTCTGGCCACCTCATCGGTAAGATCCGGAATTCCTAGGAATGTTGTCATCGCGTGAATGACCGCCGCTCGTACTTCGCAGGCATGATCCTTTGTCAGGCTTGACAGCTTCATCGGCGCGTTCTCTCTAATACCCCTCCACTTCGCCTCGGGTAGATCCTGCCATAGTTGGCTAATACAAAGACAAGCCCATTGGCGCAGCAGAATATTGTCTTCATTCCTAAGGTGCGCCAAGCAGTACGTCATGATAGGTGACTGATTGCACACAGCTTGACCAGGCCGGTAACCCTTGCACAGCATCGACAGCACAAACGCACACATTGCCTTATGCTCGTCGCTATTGGCAACGGCGAGGATCTCAGCTGGATTTAGGATTGAGGCGAAATAATTATACCCACTATCCTTGATTAGATCGGGCTGACATGAGACATCGACGGCAAGAACTCGGGTCCAGATGAATACCATGACAGGCTTTAACTCGGCAGCGGCAGACTGCAGGAGCTTCAGCACGTACGGGAAGATACCGATGCTCAGGGCTAGATGAACTGCCCAGGGACCTAAATCAAGAAACTTGCCTAGCAAGATGAGAGCTCGGACTCGATGCTGTTGGCTAAGCAAGACCTGGAGCACAACAGGAAGCTGCTCGGGCGGCTTCTGCTGTAAAGCATCTCCTCGCCCAAGGTAGACTTCGAAAGCGGTCAGCTGTTCTGCGAAAAAAGTCGAACTCTGGTATTCGTATTCGATTCCCTCATTCTCTTTTCGCTCCATCATAGGGAGTTGCGCTAATGCCAAATCGACGGCCAAGTCCCAGCTTTCCCACAGGGGATGCTGGTGAGTGTCGGGCAATTCCGGATATGATTGTGGATGACATCCGTAAACCATCATGATCCTCTGGGCTAGGATAAAGTTGCGGAACAGAGCAGCTACCATGAGATCCTGCCTAAAGAATTTGCGGAATAACTGCCGAGGCAAAGAGGTCCAAGCAATAGTATCAGTGATTGCCGTGAATATCCAGTTGAGTTCTCCAAGTGGCGTTCTCCGTTCCTGTAATCTACCAGGGAGTTTCTTGGCCCGCTCCGGCGAGATACTTGTCTTGAGCGGGTTCTGCAAGACGAAAAACCATAAAGCCATCTCTATCGGCGTTGTCAAGCATGCCGTGAATAAGTCAGCCGGAAGACGTGGGTTAGTTGGGAGGTTTTCCTTGACGGCACAGGCTGCAAGGTGAAGGTATGAACGATATTTAGTTTTCTCATAGTTCGGGTCAGCAGCGGAGGCTGCTTCCTCTTCTTCCTCGTGCTTCTCTACAAATCGGTGATAGTTGTTGAGAATATTTCCAGCTTCGGAACAGTCCCAGACGAAGATAGTAGGTGCTTGAAGCCAGAGTTGGAGGTCGTATAGAGAGATAGGAATATACTGCGTGAAAGTCTTGTTGAAAACCCAGATCTCTCCCGACGCCGTTGGCTTCGGCACTCCATGGCCGTTATAGTGAAGGAGAACGCGTTCATCTTTTGCATTTCT